CTGTTGGTAAATCTTATAACTTTTTAACGCTTTTGCATATCATAGAATCAACTCTTTTAGTTGAAACAGCTGGCTAAGTTTCTTTAATCATATCATATCATATCATATCATATCATATCATATATATATACTAGCAGAGTACCCGTCCTTCGTACGGGGTTGGAATATAACTATAAAATGCTTATTGCAGTTATACTCAAGCTTTGCGTTTGCAATAAGGGAGGACACAGTTTGATAAAATTTGCTTTTTTAAATTTGCAGTATTCTACAGTATTACACATCTACCATAGCCATAATGTTCTACCACTTCACCTAAACAATAGAGAAAAATAAATTATCAACAATTCGCAAAATATCACAAGTTATTCATGAAATGAAAAACATAAACATAACTGTAAACAATCCTACTTATTTGACAGTTCTCAGTGTGAATCACAGTTTTTTTTGCTGCTTAGTTCAAATTAGCTGTTTTCATAAATGCAAAAAAATATATAGTGCTGCACCCTGTTGGTAAATCTTATAACTTTTTAATGCTTTTCCATATCATAGAACCAACTTTTTTAGTTGAAACAGCTGACTATAAATTTTTAATACCCTTTAATTATGAATACTCATAAGGTTAACATGGGGAATTACAGAGCCACTGGGGCAGAGCCCGAAAGGATTTTTGAGATAAGAATATGCCTATATGTTAATCGGGAATGTAAGCTATCATCATGCCAAATTTCAGCCCAATCCATCCAGTGGTTTATGCATGATTGAACTTCAAACACACAAACAAACAAACAAACAAACAAACAAACACACTAACTTTCACATTTATAATATTAGTAAAATATATATTATCTATAATATTAAAACGAAACAGTGTTTTTTTATTTCACGATTCTGAATCAACCACTCGACGGATTTTCATGATTTGTGTGTTGAAAGAAAGATAATTTTGAGAAATAGGGAATGTCGAAGCCATAATTTTAGTTTAGGGTCCCAGTTTTTTGGAAATTAAGTTTTAATTTTTAAAAAGTCTAGCAGCCGACGCTAAGATTCTAAACTAGCTTTTGGTGAAATATAATTTGTTTATCATAACAGCTGTAAACATTCAGCGTTTGTAACACAAATTCAGCATTTGGATAAAATTAAAAAACATACTAAGGGTTGACTTATTTATACTATGTGTAATGCTAATCATTGGTACGTTCAATCCTTCGATAAGAGGATGACAGATTATTTAAATATACATATATAGGTAAAATACTAGGATGTTCAAAGGATTTCTTTAAATAAATCTTTGTAATCTTCGGTTTGTTTTAGTGCAATATAATTTTCTTTTAACTAACAGCTGGTTAAATATGAAAATGCTCTGTAGAACTTTGAGGTTATTTTATTTACTCTGATTTTTCATTGATTTTTAGGAAATAAGTAAGATTAGTAGACCACCGAGAAAAGTAACACCATCGATGTATACAAGTCGAGGCTCTGTACACGAGTCTTAAAAAATGATATGCAAATTATTATACTGCTCAACTTTTTTAGGAAAGGGTAGAAAAATCCATTTTTTACACGTTTCAATTCATCTTGGTTTGTTCACAATCAATGTTTTTGAATGATTAAACTTTGTTTGGATTAGGCCCGGAAATATTGATGTCATAAAGAAGGAGAACAAGAATCCTCAGGAATGCGACGGGTTTTATCCAAAGATATACAGATGAATGACAGATTGAGCACAACGTCATCATTGACCTAGCAATTAGACTAACCATCTTTTTATGAAATCTAAAAAGTTGTTCTGCGTGTGTTTAGTTGTGGTTACTGAATATTTTATTCAGGGAGGCGCTGAATATTTTATAGTTTAAATAAATGAATACGGGGAATTACAGTGTATATTGATTCAATGAGGGTGGTTTAATTATTAAGGATATTAGAAGGAATGGATAATAAACATAGACAATTAAACTAGCTTTACTAGCGTGTTTTACGTTTTAAATTCCCTCAACATGTGACCAGTTCTTTTGTTTAAATGAATATTATTTTATTTTTGACTCAGCTGTTTACTAAAACAAACTATATGTTGTTGTTTTTACTTTTCTTTGTTTACACTTATTTATTTAGCAATTGATGCAGTGAAAATTGATATAAAGGATATGTGTGGACGATTCGTTTAATGATGTCAGGACACCAACTTTATAATTATGTGTACTGTGAATTTTATTGGATGTTTTCGTTTTATTTTAGGGAGTTTCTATTCAGACCTACTGGAAATTGTGTATAGTATGAGTAATTGTATTGTGTTGATATTGATTATGGAAGAGGCAAATATGCGATGTAATTGGAAGGTGATATCGTTGACTAGGCCTATACACTTTCTCAATTAATTACTCTGTCTACTGTAGGCTGCTATAAAATTTGTCTTTATACGTGTACGCTAGCTGTTCTGATTTATACACAGTTTTAACTGACTAATCCCGTACGTAGGACGGGCTAACACCTCGTATATATTAAAATGAAACAGGGTTTTTTTATCTCACGATTCTGAATCAACCACTTGACGGATTTTTATTATTTTTGTGTTGAAAGAAAGATAATTTTGAGAACTAGGGAATGTCGAAGCCATAATTTTAGTTTAAGGTTTCAGTTTTTTAGAAATTAAGTTTTAGGCTAATTTTTGAAAAGTCTAGCAGCCGCCGGACGAGTTAAAGTCGTTTTAGTGGTGGTTTAACTAACACCTGGTTTCTAACTGTCATTGAAATGTTTATGTTACAAGTTGTTTGTATACAAAAATATTGATCGTCAGAGATTGCCTACACACTATTTTACTTTGAAATGCTGTTTATTTTCTACCGTAAAAGATCTATGTTATCAGGAGATTGTGTAATTTTGAACAAAACATTTTAAACGTATAACCAAGTTTTATCAGAAATGCAATCCGTCTAAGTGCTAGTGCTTAATCCTTTAAGATATAAGTGGTTTACATGTTGATACATCTTTTTCTACATGTATGATTATAAGTATGACTGCATACAGTACACATGAAAATGTCAACCGGTGTAGTAGGTCTCCAGAAAACTGACCAGTAAGCTGCAGGGTGTCAGTAGAAACCAAAATCGATTCATACCATATCGTAGCCATCCCAGTAATACTGTATGATTCAGAAACTTGATAAAGGGATACATTCCAAAAGTAGACCAAAAGACTCGGATCTCGGATGGGCTGGGCAGGCTTGGCATGGCGGAGAGAAGATACTTCAACTTTTAAAAGTGTATTCCAAGGAGTACTACAAGGTAGACGACCACTTGGAAGACCAAGTAATGAAAGACATCTTCAGACTGGTATCTTCCTGTCTTCCTGTCATCCACAAATAGCAGGGGATAGAAGAGAACGGGAGGCCAGGATCATTTTAGAGGTTTCAGTCGCCAAGGTGGTAAAATAAGGTACGGTAAGTGATAGTAGTCCTATGCAGTGGATGGTGGTATGTAGCTACTGTACTCAAAGCCAGTGTGTGTGAATCGGCCACCAAGCTGTAAACTAGCTGTTCTGAATTATATTCAGTTTTAATTGTCTACTCGATTCCCGTACGTAGAACGGGCCAACAGCTCGTTCCCTTTAAATATGAATACTCATAAGGTTAACATTGGAAACTGCAGAGCCACTTGGGTGGAGCCCGAAAGGATTTTTGAAATAAGAGTATACCTATATTCATTGTGGTGTGAGTAGCCTCCAGATTGCGTATAATAACTATGATAGTGGTTTAAATACCTTATTCTTGCAATCCAATTGTTGTCTTCACAACTAGTTTCAACCTGCTAGGAGGTCATCATCAGGTGAGTACAAGGATGATATTACTTCATATGAAGGTCGTCAGTAACAGTTTTTTCACATTCACACAAACACACGACGAATAAACACATAGTGCGCACACATATACGGCCGATAAAAACATTTAACTCGACAAGCGGACCCGTGTTGATAATGCGGAAGTTGCGTCTAGACTGTAGGGTAAACAGCTGGTCAAGCATCACGCGCATTTTCTTATCGCTCGTCAGTTCCATTCCCATTGTCTCTGCCCTCCCCTTCCCTCTCCAGTATTTCTATTGCAGTGTTGTATATGACGTTTGAATTAAAATAAAGTTGGTCGTTTAAAACATTATCCATGTCTGATTTGACGGCTCTATATATCTCGAATTCTTCCAGGGTGTTAATTTTAAACTTGTCCTGTGACGTATGTACGGACAACCATACAACCAGGACAAACATACGTCACAGGACAAGTTTAAAATTAACACCCTGGAAGAATTCGAGATATATAGAGCCGTCAAATCAGACATGGATAATGTTTTAAACGACCAACTTTATTTTAATTCAAACGTCATATACAACACTGCAATAGAAATACTGGAGAGGGAAGGGGAGGGCAGAGACAATGGGAATGGAACTGACGAGCGATAAGAAAATGCGCGTGATGCTTGACCAGCTGTTTACCCTACAGTCTAGACGCAACTTCCGCATTATCAACACGGGTCCGCTTGTCGAGTTAAATGTTTTTATCGGCCGTATATGTGTGCGCACTATGTGTTTATTCGTCGTGTGTTTGTGTGAATGTGAAAAAACTGTTACTGACGACCTTCATATGAAGTAATATCATCCTTGTACTCACCTGATGATGACCTCCTAGCAGGTTGAAACTAGTTGTGAAGACAACAATTGGATTGCAAGAATAAGGTATTTAAACCACTATCATAGTATACCTATATGTTAATCGGGTATGTGAGCTATCATCATGCCAAATTTCAGCCCAATACGACTAGTATTTTTCGCGTTTACTTGTCACAAACATACATACATCCATAAATCCAAACTATCTCATTTATAATATTAGTAGGATTAGTAGGATGATATATTTTTAAAGTCGCATTATTGATGTAGGTAAGTTAAAAAGTCTGCAACTGGTAGTTTTTACATATGGTTGTTGTTATTGTTTTTAAATTAAAGTAAACACAATTTGGCCAAATCTTGAAATTCTTTTTTACAAATTCAATGTTTTAAAATGTGCCGTAAATATTGGTTGCTAATTTGCAAATTTTAAATAAATCCTGCGTGTTTTACTCTTAACTCTCTCTGTGATCATGCTTTATATATATCTACAAAGATCGAATATGCAAGTTGAGCACGCTAGGAAAGTAATAAGAGGTTATCGTGTTCAAAATGTATCGGAAAACAAGAAGGTAAGGCTTGACAAAGAGGACGAAAGCAGGAATAAGGACGATTTCCAAGGATTTTACGGACATCCAGTATATAATCTACATGTTAAAGTGTACCCTTCATTAAATAAAGTTAGTGACATAACAAATGTCAAGCTACCAGACCACTTTAGGCTTACAAATAAAACTCGTAACAAACACAAAGTAAAGAGAACGATAAATGAACAAAACTCAGTATTTAAAACTAGTCCCGAAGAAAACGTTGGAGAAAACGACGATGTAAATGTATTGAAAGTAAAAAAGAAAAAGAAACATGAAGAGGAGGAGAAGGACGAGTACGAATTAACGTATGCTGAAGACTTCCCTTTCTCTGTGCTTCTGATACTAGTTAAGAATGGGAATGACGAGCAGGGCATCTGTACAGGAACGATTATATCAGAAGAGTGGGTGTTGACGGCGGCGCACTGTCTGGACGAAGTAGAGAAGTAGACGGAGTTATTGTCTACGCCGGAGGGAACTCTCTCCAGGAGTTCGAAGACTACGCAAGTGGCGAAGACCAGCTTCCAGAAACAGCACAACTGGTGAAGAGCGCATAGTTGATAATTCACCCAAACTATGAGAGTGAAAAGGGCGATGGAGACGTAGGGCTTATTAGAGTGGATGAGAAGTTTGTTTGGAACGAGGCTGCTACTCCGATCAACCTGACGACAACTCCGTTCAAGCAGTCTTTTAAAGGATGGGCCGCATGCGAACTGACGGGGTTTGGCGTAGTCGAAGACAACACTCGCAGTGATGACGACACGAAGAGGAAAAAGTACAGTTTTAAAATTAAATCAGGCTGTTGGGAGACTATTGTAATGCAGATGGTTAAATCGTTTCAATTCGTTAGTTTCAGTAAGGTAAAGAGCCCCTTGGAAAGTGTGTGTTATTGATTTTTTAAAGTAGAATAAGTAACTGGTAGATAATCCTGTGACCTGTCTGTTGTAGGCCAGCAGGTACCTCTGTACCAAACCCAAGCTGGACTACGGAGTGTGTCCTGGAGATTCTGGTGGAGGTTTGGTCTGTGGAGGGAAGGTACGAGGAGTGGCCATGCAGATGATCAAGATGGGCAACACAAAGTACTGTGATCTGTCTATTTTAGGTGACATGCAATGCGGAGGCATGAATACTCTCAGTGTGTTTCAGGTGAGTGTTTAGTCTCATCATAGAAACATAGATAGAACATAGGCTAGGCGTCAACCGAGGAGACTGTAGTCTTGGCCTAACCACTGAGGATGTCTCTTCAAAATAAGGACAATGGTTTCTGCAGCGATCTCCAACTGACGACCCGATTGATGCTGATCACTATTGATTCTGATAACTCCGACCTTATGAGGATGCTCACTTACTAATTTACCTATTGGGTTTAATTTTTTAAGTTGTTTGGATTTTTGTTTTTCCCTATCTTATATTTTATAGAGCTGGGTAGCTTATCGGTTATATTGCTCGCGTATTAACCAGGCGATCGGTAGTTCATTCCTGAGAAAAGTCAGTAGCGTTGTGATGGTTCTAATCGGGATACTGCTGTCCGTTATTACTACTGTAATCCTAGGTCACTGTTTTCTGGCACATTTGAATTTTTGAATTTTGGTTTATTATTTGAATTGATCTTAAAATACCTTTGAATCTATAATGCCCTAAAAGACATGTTATTGTAAATCTCGCTAAGAAGTCAACCTTGATAAGAAATCGTATATGATAATCCCTAGAGGCTTGCTATAGAGGTTCTACTGCACCTTCTATAATGACATTTTTCCAGTCCCATATTGATTATGTTTCAGGATATCTGTCCATTTCTTCCATGGATCAATGAGCACACGAACGTCTTCAATGGAACGAAAATCTCGAAGAAATGTAAATATAGTGGATCAGCACGAAATAATAACTCCTATGGTTTATTATTTATTAATATCGTATTGAGTGTTTTAATAAACTCATTTCTCAGGTAATGAACTGTTTTATTTATTTACTTAACTAGTGTTAGGCTACGCTTATTCTGCGCGTAACGGCAATGACATTTGTATGGGCAAATAAACCAAATCTCAGTCAACAACAGTCTTAACTTCTTGTCGATTAATTAACCAAAGTCATCGGTAATATACGTAATGGATTTCCAACAGTTATCAATAGAAGGGAAATCCATCGTTCCTGTACAAAACGTCTTTTGATTAATTGAAGCCTATTTCCTTATTTGTTATGAGGCCTATCATAAACAAAACTAAGTTAAACTGAACTAATCTAAACCAGACGTTTATTAAAACCCACAAATCAAGGATATCTGGGCCTAGTTTCGAACCATATTAAAGCAATTGACGTTCCTCATGATTTAACTGACAACCTTTTGATTGTCATGCGAGTACTATAACTAATCAGTTGTCCAGTTATCAATCCAATACGAAAATGCAAGATCATCACTCACAATCGGCGGGGTAGCCAATGCACACACTGTCTACACAGTACACATATCACCGACGGTCAGCAGAACGAATGCAGTACTATGGTACTAGGTGGCGTTCGCAGAGGCATCCACGAAGTTGAGCGGAGTCATCAAGGATTCATATTATATTGTTTTTGTCATACTTCAGTAAAAACAGTAGTTTTTAATGCATGCGTTGTGGGTCTAAAGTACATTTTTAAAATTTAGGGAGTACAAATTGTATTTAGCCTCTATGGAGTAAAAAACAGCTGTTGTCAACTCAGTTGTAAATGTCGATTGTAAACGATTGCATGTATCGAAAATATTTGTATCAATTCGTGCTTCGTAATCATTTTAACATACAGTCTACAGTCTCTTCCCATAGCATTTTAGCATTGCAGATACATTAATCCATTCCCAAACTCAACACTGCTCACCTTTACTACTTCCTTCACCACACCCTACGTGGTGGACCTGTTCCCCTCTCTTCCCATAGCATTTTAGGATTGCACATACATTAATGTAATTGCCAAAGACAGTTCCCACACTCTGCACTGCTAGCCTTACTACTTCCTTTACCATTTAATACGTCATGGACCTGTTTCCTTCCTTTCTCATAGCATTTAAGTATTACAGATTCATTTATCTAACTGCCCAAACGGTTTCCCCACTCTGCACTGCCAGCCTTTACTACTTCCTTCACCACTTCCTACGTCGTGGGGCCTGTTTCCTTCCCTTCTCATAGCATTTTAGTATTGAAGATACATTAAGCTAACTGCCACAGACGGATCTCACACTATGCTGATGCTCATACTTAACTACTTCCTAAGTCACTTCCTACGTCGTGGACCTGTATTCATCACTTTCCATAGCATTTTAGTATTTTAGATACGTTAATCTAATTGCCACAAACATTCCCACTCTCCGTACTGCTAGCCTTTACTACTTCTTTCGCCATTTCCTATGTCGTGGGCATGCTTCCGTCCCTTTCTCATAGCATTTCAGCATTGAAGATACATTAAAACTGCTACAAATTGTTTCCAGTTCCCACACTCCACACTGCTCACCTTACTACTTCTTTCACCTCTTCCTACGTCAAGAATCTGTTTCCCTCTCTTCCCATAGCATTTTAAGATTGTAGATACCTAAATCTAATCGTCATAAACGGATCCCACACTCCGAACAACTCGCCTTTACTACTTCCTTCACCACTTCCTACATCACAGAACTGTTCCCTTCCTTTCCGTAGCATTTTAGGATTGCAGATACCTTAATCTAATCGTCATAAACAGTTCCCACATACCGGACAGCTCGCCTTGACTACTTCCTTCACCACTTCCTACGTCACGGACCTGTTTTCCTCCCTTCCCATAAAACTTTAGGAATGCAGGTATCTTAATTTAATCGTCATAAACAGTTTCCACACTCTAGACTGCTCGCCTTTACTACTTCCTTCACCACTTCCTACGTCGCGGACCTGTTTTCCTCCCTTCACATATAATTTTAGGAATGGACATACCTTAATCTAATCGTCATAAACAGTTTCCACACTTCAGACTGCTCGTCTTTACTACTTCCTTCACCACTTCCTACGTCGCGGACCTGTTTTCCTTCCTTCCCATAGAATTTTAGGAATGCATATACCTTAATCTAATCGTCATAAACAACCACACTCCAGACTGCTTGCTTTTACAACTTCCTTCACCACTTCCTACGTCGCGGACCTGTTTTCCTCCCTTCCCATAGAAGTTTAGGATTGTAGATACCTTGATCTAATCATCATAAACAGTTCCCACACTCCGGACAGCTCGCCTTGACTACTTCCTTCACCACTTCCTACGTCACGGACCTGTTTTCCTCCCTTCCCATAGAATTTTAGGAATGCAGATACCTTAATCTGATCGTCATGAACAGTTTTCACACTCCAGACTGCTCGCCTTTACTACTTCCTTTACCACTTCATACGTCACGGACCTCAAGCTAGTGTCGCCATTTGATTATATTTATGATCCATACAGTTTATGTTCTAATATCTGGGGAATAATGCTATCAGCTATTTCTTTATCTACTGCATTTAAAAGTCAACAGCTGATCATATGTCATAAGTCTTTGTTTATTTTTCAAATACTGCTTCCATAAGGATTACATTGAAACTTTGAGACCCAATGGGGCGGATTCCTGAGAGACTTTTTAACGCCATATAGATGTTGGCACTCACTGATATGGTCTTTAACACCATGCAAAATTTGAAAACGATTGATTCAGCCGTATAGGAGGAGTTTGCGTATTACAACGTTTAATAGTCGACGTATAAGAGCTTCGCTCGCTTCGCTCGCTCCGCTCAAAAATATTCTCATAATCGAATACTTGGAGATTCATATGTACATGTACATTCATTAGCTAACTGATGACCTATGGCATGGACTAACCAATACAAGGGACTATGATTAATCTATGGCTATGGCTAATTCAAATTGTTCAGTCTGTCAATTTGATCACATGTCAACGTTTTATACAATATTAGTAAACAAACATAAATACTCCTAAACTTTTGCATTAAATTCAAAATTGTGTTGTTTCGGTTTCAAAATCATCAATGGAATTGATACTTGGATTATTTATTTTCTATTTTCAAACAATAGTCGTATTTAACCAAAATGTAGCCGGGGAAACAAATGGAGAACAGACCCAAACTTTATCAACAGGAACCAACCATTCTAACGATGAAACATATCTATTAAATACCAACCGAAGTACTGATAGCAATTTTACTAAAGATGTTAAGGATATGCCCATTGTTTATGCTTTGGAGAGAACTCAAGATGTACCTGTAACAAATTCTACAAGTCTAGAGAACACAAAATTAGTGCATTTTAAAGTCAACAAGACAAAAAAGATTGTCTTCAACCAAATTAAGATTCCTAGCAAAGTCGTTAAAGACGGAGTTACAACGACATCTAAAAATGATATGCATGAAGCAACATTTGAATCAGACGTCATCCAAGCAGAACCCGAAGGGTCTTTCAATAATGGTCAAAACGTAGATATCGCTATGCATCGCTCAGACGTTGGGCACACGGAAGACACTGAATTCAACGTCAACCAAACAGAAGGTTTGCAGAGTAAGCCAACTGCATATTTTAACGAAGATGAAAATTTGAACAATTTGACTCATCCCACTGAAAAATGTCAATTCGACAGCAAAAAAGAACAGAAAATCTTGCACGACTCGCAGTTTAACAGTGAAAACAGTGAATACCTAGACACTTTCGACTGGAGAAGAAGAGAAGATTCTTACAACCTGACAGAACCAGAGCAATACCCGTATTCTGTGCTCGTCATCGTATTACGAGGCGGTAAAGTGGTAGGTCCGTGCACAGGTTCGATCA